AACGTTCCAAGTCGCACGGTCATATTTATTTATTACACATACACGGTTTCTTGATGCATTTTATGCCACCGATTCAAATGAATTTGTACTTTGCACGGGAGTACAAGTTCCGTTCAGTTTCTAGGAGCGAAATAGATTTAACGCCGAGCGTGTGGAAATGTGCGGGAAGCGCACACGTACACACAACAGACACAGGCAGGCTCGAATCGAACTACCGCGGACAAAAGAAAACGAGTGGGCGTCGTTGCCTGGGTAATGTTTACGTTTTTCGACAACGAACGTGGTCTATCTGAGGATCATTCTGTTGTAAATGTTAAATGTACTGTCCTATAAATGAGAATTTTTAATAAAATCATTTTTATACAGATACCATTTGTCAATGCAATTAGTGTACTCGTAATGAAGTATGATTATAAAGACAATTAGCCAGATGTGATCGAACGGAAGAAGCGTTTTCAACATGGTATTCTGTTAAATGTGACAAACCTGGTGACGCGTGATAAAAGGGGAACAAAAAATGCATTATTGATCAATTATTTTAAGACGTGGATTTTGTGGTTAATTATAGTATTGCACAATTGCCAGAAAAAAGGACTGTAAGAAGGATTGTAAGTTTCCTCAAAGAAAGCAGCGTCAACTGCACATGTGTAATGCAAAAAGAATTGGAGAACGATAAAAAGCGTATCAGCTGCCAATAAATCATGCTAATTCTTAAATGCGTGTTTTACAACATGTAAATACTACTGATTTACATTGTAAAGGACATAATGCATGGAATTAGATGTGTGAGGCATAAATTTGCAGCAGTATATCTATAAGACTCATCGATCAGAAGACAATGCATTTACTATATGCATATATACAGTGGAAACAAAAGGTCCAATTCGAAACATTTCTGGCAAAGAAACGTAGTTAAGTTTCAAAGTCAATGCATTTATTTCAGCGCAACCAGATAATTAAATATACATTATATACAATGATCATGTAAAAGATGCATCAACTGGTTTCCCATTTTCGTAGGGTGACTGTATTAATAATAAGTAGCATAAGTTTTTTTTGGGTGAACCAATGAACTATATGTAAAGTAAGCACAAAGAGAAGCTCTTGAGACAGCACTGCATCTGCGCTGTGTTAGCCTCTAGCTAGACTGCAGATCGTTCTGCACTTATAGTTTCTAAGAACCTTAAAGGACCAACAAAGCTTAACACTCGGTACGATTTACCATAAATCTCAATTGATTTAATCAATTGAAACGATTAACGCAGGAAGCAACATTTCGTTTAACTTCAGTGTCCATGAGTTAATGTACAAAACTGTAAGTGTGCATGATTGTCCGTAGTCTATTTATGGGGACAGTGTCCTGTCGTTTGGTTTCACCCAGAATATAATGATAAAGGGCCCTTTGGGCAGCCTGTTCCTTAATTAACATATGACATAAATATCTATACCGCTAACGATTGACATTTGGTTACATCAGTCATGGGCATGACCAGTGTACACACTCACACATGTGTATAGAGGTCAACGAACATAATCTAATCAACTTAATCCACCTAACGATACAGCATCGCTGATATTTACATTGTTAAATCGTTTTAACATTTAACGAGTTAAATGTTAGCCGGAAAGCGACGCGAACCGGTTTGGTACCGGCGCCGTCCGGCGCGTACATTGTGAGAGATGAAACAAGACACGACTTACCCGCTACTGCTACTTAAATAACCCGATTTCTTCCTTTAAGTTACAACAATTAGAAAGACAGTCTATTCTGCGAAGGATGCATCCTGGGAAGGACTTCTTAATCAGCAACAATCAGCAACCACTGTTCACCACTACGCACCACTGATCGGTCCCGCGCTTCTCAAACAATTCGAAACGGTTTGAAACAGGGTGGGGGCGTAACGGTCAACTGTTACGAAAGCAACAAAAAATGTCACTAGGACGAGCGACTTCTCGCGCATAAAAAAACGAAAAGGAAATTATCCTGGCCGTTACAATGCCACCGATAAACTTAGTTATACTAGAACAGTGATAGAAAATTAATAAATCGCTTCCTGGATGTTTATTTAGAAAAAAAATCACTGTAATCGAACTGCGCGCGTCGATAACGCCTAGATACCGATCACGTGGTCCTGATTGGTTGAGATGTTCCGCGCGTTTTAACGGAACGAATGCGCTCATTTAAAAAAAGCATTATTAACGAAAATGATATCCTCTTCTTTTCTTCTCCTCCATCTCGTCTTGCTCCTCGTTTACGTTTAGAAATAAATTACGTCGTTAACGATCGTCTCTCTTTTCACCCGTGCGTGAACGTTTTAGTGCCTACAATTCACGTACGTCACTTTTTCGCCGTTCACGACACGGACATAACGAGTACAGGCTCGGAGGAAAAGTGCAGGTACTCGTTGGTCTGTAAGAAGAAAAAGAAAGAAATTTCCTTATTACACGTATTAATTAACATGGGAATGAATTACGAGATCCATTACGAGACCGAACAAAAATACATATCTACCAGAGAAACGTTGCGCTCGATTTGAATTCAAATTCTGTAAAATTTCAGAGGACAATTTTCCAAAAGTGAATTGAAGGGTCTCGTTAGGATCGAATCGATCGGTTTCAAACTGAATAAAAGGAACATCTCAAAACGGTAAAACCGTGCAGCAGCATTGTCAAACAGAAGATACCGCGAACCATCGAACGGCGGTCCTTTCTGGATCAACTAGTCCATCCAAGTGTGTTACGGCACACGGTGTTAAGTGTCACTCAAAAAAATCCACAGGCAAACATTCCAAATCGGAGTTAGTATTGTTAGCGCACACACTCACATGCCTTCTGATCCGTGTCTTGGTCCGTGCAGGACGGCTGTTGAATATAAAGGGCCGGTTTCAGCGGTCGGCCATCTTGGTCCTCTACCAGGACCACCAGCCCGTGGTTGCTTCCGTTCCCGTGAAGATTTCGAGGGTTCAATCTCCAAAATCGAAGACTCTGTCTAACGTCCAGGGCCAGATGAGTACCTTCTGCCGTCAATGGCGTCACTACCGAGTCCATTAAACGTTTTTTTGCTGAAAAAACAAATCGACAATAAAGAACGTCGATCATCTGGGACCTAGTTAGCTCGCGTCCCTAACCGATTTTCGTTTTCTACGCGTTTCAAATTCGAAAATAGCTCTCTGAAGCTTACATCGATGCTTCTTCAAAGACTTGGTGTAATAGTAGACCGATATTCTGATCTTTTTCTCGTCCTCTTCGTCCTCCTCGAAAGTATCTCCCGTGGAGGAGGTCAGGTTCTCTTGCGGTAGTTTGAAGATCCTCAATCTCGCGGCCACCACGTGATCGCTGGACGTCAGATTCAGCTGGAAGTGCATGTTCATGGAGAACGGGTCCGTCCAGGCATCTTGGTCCGTGTTCCGCGGTGTTTGACCTGGAAAGATTAAGCTTATCGCGACACCGTTTCTCAATAAACGACAAACACGATCAACGAAACGACCGATCGACTCACAGCTAGACGGGAACATGACCAGCCTCTGCCGTTGCACCTGATTCGCGCTGCCGCTGTTGTTCAGGCGTCCTGTCATAGCCAGGACTCGCGACTTAATATCCTGTATGGCCTTTTCGCTTTGGCTGCACAGACAAACGGGTCATCGTTCAGACGAACCGGTATATCGGACACCGGCGGGAGAAAGCGACAAAGAAAAATTGGAAAACCATGACAATGATCAAGCCTTCAGTGACCGAGTAGAAAGAAAAAAAAACGAACGAATGAAACGGTGAACGTTTTCGGCAACGAGTGCGTGCAGGTTAAGAACATTCCGTGTAAAAAGCGGGGGTAGCCGTTAAACGTCGTTTTTATAAGGTGACGTGGAAATTTTCACTTCGTGATACATGCGAGTTCTTCCGGGTGGCGAGGCAGGCCATTGGACGGTGGTCAGTGACCTATAGACTCCACGCTATGGGTCAGAGATATTTATTATACGTTCTAGACGCTGGCTAGACAGCCGACGGGGGCATTGGTGTAACGATCATCTAATCTATCCATCTGCTCGAGGAGCATTAACACTTCGCCGTCGCGTCTCGGGCCTCGAGTCCTTTTACCGGACTCGCCGGGCGTGTTATCTCTTCCCCGTCGACATTACTCCCGAGAACCGAACGCTGGCGATCCTCTTTCCACCGGTGGGAACCGTAAAATTAAAAGAGGGAGAAGGGCCACCGAACATGTCCATCCGTATCCCCTAAAATCGCCTAATAAAGTTTATCTTTCCGCGAACTGGTCCGACGTGCGCGCCATAAAGCTGGCGGCCGAGGAGCCGGCCGGGGGATCAGGTGAGATTACGGGATTGCATAATGACGTCTGTAAGTCGTTAACCGAACACACACGGGGAGGGAAAAGAAAAGGAAAAAAGAAGACGAAGAAGAAGAAGAAGAAGCATGAGGAGGTGGAGAGTCTTTGCTCGACGTCACAGGCAAGGATCGCCGGCGTTGCACGCCCACACGGAGATTTGAGCGCAGCCAATGGCGCGCGTCAACGACCTCGTCGCTTGGCCGAGAAACAAAAGTCTCCCTTTTTTTCCGTGGAACGAGACGACCGCCAGACAGACAGACAGGATGTCTAGGTGAGGATGGCCGTCCAGAGAGGTGAACGCGAAGGAGAACGTGGAGGAATTTTCGGTGACCCTATCCCGCGGCCTGTCTCGTGCCTTTCCTTCCAGGAAATCTGGACGGCGCGAGGCACGCGGGGGGCGGCAGGCAGGGCATGGGGCAGGGGGTGCACGGAGGGAGGGAGTGAGAGACCTGGCCACCGCTGACGAAATCTCCCCACGAAATCTTTCTTCTTTACGGCGCGCTTGTATACGATTCTAGACATGCTCGTTAATCTAGCCGCGTCCAAGTCACGCATTCTACACCGTCTCGTTGCGTACGTGTCACGTCTGTCTGCCGTCTGGGAAAGGGAAGGACTCGGGTGTCTGGAGGCCGTTGCATCATGAGAATGAATCCAGTGATCCTTCTCCCGGGCACCGTATTAAGAAAATTGGCCGTGTTACCGATGGTTTTGTAACCGGGGCTTCCACCGCGAGCTCGCGGCATCTTTCCGCCGAGATGATTCATTTTAAACGAGGCTCGAGGGCGACACCGAAACGCCGCGCAATTTTGAACACGACCGCGTCCGAATCCTCCGAGAAAATCGGGTATCGTTGCTACCGGTTCGCGTGTCTTCACGTTGTTCCGGCGTTCTTAAGTTTCTCCTTTCGGGTTGTCGCGGATAATCCCGGGGATTAGTTTGTCGGATGAACGTACTCTTAGGTGAACAGGAGAAATGAATACGAATAAGAGATTTCGGTTCGCCGCAGAAAAATGCCACGGGGCGGGAGCAGCGGCGGAAGCCGAAGGGGTCGCGAGCCAGAGAAAAGGCTTCTGGCATTCCGCGTGCGGCGTTTACCGCGAATCGCACCGGGGCGATGCGATTGGCGACCGCCAAAAAATGCACGTTGCATCGTCTGGCGGTGAGGTGGGGAGAGCCACTGGGCGAAAACTTCCTCCTCTCTCTTCGTCGCGCGTGATCGCGCGGTCTCGCGCGCTCTCTCCGTCGCCGTCCTCACCGTCGACATAGGAAGAGAGACGCATAGACAAGGTCAGCGCATTAAATTGAAATGTGTTACATAACCTCGTAAGAGAGCAGTCCTGACTGCAATCTGACTAGACACCCGGTGATTACGGGGGTGCTCAACTCGGGCCCGGCTCGGTCCGACCGGCGACGCCATCGGCTGCGATACTCCATCGGGTGGCGAACCGAACTCCGAGACCTTAGAACCGTCGTCGTCCTCCTACCGTGCTCTCTCTAATCACGAAACCCTCTGCAACCTTTAACGCGGCGGTCTTAATGGACATCACGGCCGCCGAAGCGACACGTGTAACCCTTCCGCTGTGACCAACGCGTTCAACGGTTCGTTACGTCTTTCTTTAACCCTTTGCGGTCCGAAGTCTTCTTAACTTTTCGCTCTGGAGCTTGCGACGACATTAGTTTATTCGGCTATAGTTTCTCTTGACTTTTTAACGTTTGCTCGACAACATTCGGGAAGCATTGAAATACTTCTGTATTATACGATTACGATGTTAGAAGTAATTACGGTGAACGTCGCTGAAATAAGTAGATGTTCGAGTGAAATTCTCAAGTCTCGTTCAACGTAAGACCGCGAGAGGGTTAAAGTGTGAAGATCTTAAAGAGGGGCGAACTAGACGCTGGAAAATGTCGGGCCGATTGAAAAACTGGTTCCCTTCGCTATCCGTCTCCCGTTGTTGGATCGTCGTGGATCTCCCCGTGTGTGCACGCGCGGCACGAGGAACGGACGGGGGCACACCGTAGAGTAGGACTCTCTTTCTCTTCTTTTCTCTTTCTCTCCACGGCCAGGCTACGCCAGTGCCGACACGAATGCATTTACGCGTCTAGACTTAATAAAATAAAAGAAACGCCTTCGCACCCGCGCGAAGAGCGACCGCGCGTGGTGGCGGGGCCGCGGGGGGACGATTTAAAAACATAGCTGAGGGTCCACGGCGGAATTTCCACCGTGCGTCCTTCCTGGCTAACCTCTGTCCTCGTCCGTGTCTTTCGAAACGATGCCACCCTCCTTTTTACCTGTCGATTTGCTTCGGTATCGGTTGTCTCAGCGCATTCCGCGACTGGAACGTAAAAATACGTTTTCCCACCCCCCGTCCTCGGATGCAATGTAAATTTTACGTACGCATGGTCCGCGAGAGTTTCAAGGCTTAAATGTTTCGCTCTAATAATTAGAAAACTTGTGGAACTATATATTTCTTGCAAATAAAATGATCAAGAATTTTTAGCAGATTTTCAAGTCTGAAATGAATATAAACTTGATCCCCATTGAATGTGAATTCAAACGCTACCTCTGTTACGAACGAAATTTCGTCTTCGTTTGATTAATATTGAAAAGGACCTGTCTATCGTTTGTTCCATCGTTTAAACATCTTCTTCTAAAGACGGCAGAAGAAGCGGACGTTGGTCAGCGGGAGCCGCAGAAATTTCAGGCGGCGCTTCACGGCTGTTCGTTTCGTCACGATATTTTTACAGGCGATCGAGATATTTTTACATGGCGAGGGCAACGATTCGTCGTCCGAGTATTCGTGCGCGCGGCTGTGTCGTTACGCGAGTGGAAAACCGTTCGGGTTTTTCTGAGCGAGATGATCGAAGGAAGAACCGGCGGGCCGGTCAGGCGGGAAGGAAAAAGAAACGAAAAGAGAAAGGACGAAAGAGGGAACACGAGAAGAACGTTGTTACCTTTTTCATGCAGACACAACAACACAACGCGCGAGGAAAAGGCCTCGCCGTTATCGCGATAAATCGCGTCTCATGCAACACGAGCAAATGAGATAACTGCGATGGGAATGTATTTTTAGATTATGCAAGCGGGGCCAGAAAGAAAGCAGCCGGGCCAGGAAAAGAGAGGCGCGGCGATGCGGGAAAACCGAAGGAATGAAAAAGAAAAAGAAAGAAAAGAAAAGAAAAGAAGAGGAATTCGACAAATCCCGGCAATTACGTTCGTCGAATTCGGCAATACCGGATCCCTTACCCAAAAAGCGATCATTGTGCCGTCTGTGGAGGCGCTTACCTGTCGAAGCTTGAGGTTAGCTTTCCTCTAAAAGACACAAAAAGCAAAACATTGTTGAGACTTAATTGGGCCGTGGTGTATTCTTGCGAAAGCGAGACGCGCAGCGTGAATGAACATATAACAGTGAGAACGCATTTGTCAAACTGGGAGGAGTACGTCGCAACGTCCTCGTCCCGAATTTGCTTGTGAATCGAACCACCCGATGTTCTGTCCAATCCTCGAACCTTTCGGATCCGTTCCCATAATCAGAACGTTCGGCGAAGGCTCGAGCCAAACACGATATAATGCAGAAGAACAGATTACTTACTTCCGCCGCTGATCGAGCAACACTTGCTGATATGTCGTCAAATTGGCCAAGGGCAGGTAGCCAGCGGATATGTTGTTGTTGGCTATGAAAAGCTTGATAGAGTCAGGCGTGTCGTTCTGGTATTCCAACGTGTCGTTCTCGCTCTCGTCGGTGTTCCAATTGCGTCGAGGGTCGCGGCTGATGTCTTCGTAGTCGGACGTCTCGTTGTCCTCGCTATTTTCGATCCCGAGGGAGTCCACGAACTCCGGCAGCACCCTGTACACGTCGTCCTCGACCCACTCGAGCCCCTCGTACTCACTAACCTTTTTACTTCTATCTGCCTCCTCTTCGATCTTCGACACAACTACTGCGTCGTTCTCGCTGGTAGTGTGGACAACAACATCGGCCCTCTCTGCAGGGCTCGAAGCATTCTCGTAGTTCATCTCCTTCGTCGTGCCGGTACCAGCGACCGAAGCTGACTCGGTGGTCGGATAATTCTTCTGATAGCGGTCCTGGACACTGTTACCTAGCTGAGGGACCACAGGAACTGACAAGGAAGCAGGAGGAACAGAAGACAACGGCAGTGGTGAAACGTGAAAGGAGCTGCCGGGACTGGTAGCAGTCTTCAGAGTCGTGTGCTTCGAAGTGACATGGTACCTCGGTGATTTCGAGTGACTTTTATTGGTTTCGTCGGACCCAGAACTGGAGTCGAACTCGGAATCGTCGTATCGGATCTTGAAGACCACGTGCGGAGCCATCACTCTGTCAAAATCTCGACGAACTGTCTCGTCTTCCTCTTTCCCTGCCTCCTCCAAGTCCTGTTCAGGTGTAGACTGCTGGAACTCTAGATTAGACGGCAGGTTCTCGTAATCGAGGACAGCTTGCCGATTGTATGCCTCGAAATCGAAGTCCTTGTAAGAAGACTTGTCTGCGTGTCGGTTCTTCTTACTATCGTACGACGGCTCTTCGTAATCGTGACTCTTCGTGGAACGGTCCATGGAATTCTTCTCCCGGTATCTATTCTTCTTCTCAACGTTCTCACCGTGAAAGACTTTGGTCCAAGATTTGAAGCTCTCCTTCCTCCTCAGTTCCTCCTCTTTCTTTTTATTCAACTCCCTCTCGCGAATCGCCAGGACCTCCTCCAAACTGTAGTTCAAGCTCTTCAGCAGCAGCATGTCACCAGCGCTGAGGTCACCGGTGATTATCTTCAAGATCGCCTTCTCCAGCATCTTCTCGAGCCTCCTGTCGCTGTAAGGAAGCTTCTCCTTGGCGTCCTCGATGTTCAGGCTCCTCCTGTTCTTCTCGTCGGCTGATGAAATCGCGTTCATCTCCTCCCTGGAGCCGTACCTCCACGCGTGCTCCACTTGGTCCTTCCTCTTCTTGTTCTCCGAGTGGACACCGTGATGGTGATGATGACACCAGACACTGTTTATAGCCGATACCGCCAACAGCAGCACCAAGTACCTAGCCAGCCCCATCATGTCTAAACGGATTCTTCCAATTACAGTGTCCTGTATCGTCTCTGAAACCTGCACTCGAACGATCTCGATCTCTTCAACAACAACAGCTACCACTTTCTCTCTCGGACTGTCGGAAGCTGGGCACTGTCATCGATGAACCTCCATTATTCCCGATCCGGTGTCACTGTCTCTCGAACCTCTTACAGGGATTACGATCTGAGGAAATCGTCGAAGCTCCGCGCGATCGCGGTGGTATCCTCGTCCAGCGATCGGAACCGCTCGGACGGAAGAAGTTCCGGCGCGTCCCGACGCGCGAACAAGTGTGAACAAACTGGACCGGCGATCCGTCGTCGGCCTAGCCTAATCGCATCAGGAAGGCGCGCGCGGCCAAGTAGGAAAGAGATTCGTGGCACGCGTGTGCACCGGCTGAGCAGTAAGTCTCAACTGAGCGGTGCCGGCCTGCTCACAGACATAATTCCGTCTACTCACTAATTCCGAGAGCAAGCACGAGCCCGCGAGAGGAGACCAGCCGCACGTCGCGGCATTGCTAACTATCACTCCCTTTTTTTTTCGTTAATGTATCTCTACTGGTATACACGAAAGTGTATATATATTTTTTCCTTCTCTTCTAGCTCGTCTTCTCTTCTCTCTCTTTCTCTCTCTTTTCCACCTTTCTCTTCCAACCGCGTCCTCTTCGAACCGTGCGCCACCGACTGACTCCCTTTCCCTCGCACCGCCGAAATCCCTCGCGCGACTGACT